AGTAATATTCAGATATAAATTATTATTTAATGGAATAATTGGATTAATACTTTAACTAAACATTGATTATGGAAATTGTAAGGGACAAGTGATATCAGTATTCCAAATTTTGCGAGTCGTTCGTACGATTTTTATCACTCTTATTTTTATTACTCATTTGCAATTTCACCGTATAATATTTAAAGGAGAAATTTATTTAGGCGTGATATTTGTCGTGCGTCTTTTACGTCGGCGACACCATGAAAAGCGTGAGTCACATCCGTGATTATCGTGCGATGCACGTTTGACACGATTTGTCGTACGCACGCTCGACGAAAGGAGGAAAGTCCCGCAGGTCAGTACCGAGAATTCCCCCATGAGGTTGATCCGAGGTAAAGAAAGCAAACCGGATGTGCATATGAACGAAGGAGTTGACGATGTACTCCCGTTTTCTTTTTTCTTTTTTTTAACAAGACTCGCGAGGAAGATGAAGAAGCACAAGAATGGAAAGCATTAAAAATTACACGACGTTTTACATAACGATGAAAAGATCTTGTTTAATTGCATTCGTTCGATCGTACAAATAAAAAATACTATTTTATTGTTCTCTCTATGGAAACTCAATGCGATATTTCTAAATCTTCTTACTTTCAAAATGATTAGTAAATTAGGAAAGCCATCGGTTTGTGTTAAGAAAAAATCTACATCAAATCGATCGAAGGACCTGCGGATGGGCGGAAGTGCAAAAAGCCCGCGATAACGCACGTAATATCCTGCGCAGATCTCAAGAACGCACTTCGCTCTTGGCGCCAGTCGTAACTTACAGACACTCCGTTACGTAAGCGCAATAGTAACTTGAGAACGCATTATTAGCAGATTAGTAGCAGCAACAGCAGCAGCAACAGCCTCAATATTAACAATGAATCATTTAGCGATGTTTTTACGACAACGCGTGGGTGTTTCTCTCGGGACCTCGAGACTCCAACGTCACGAAATCGACTCAAGAATTAATAATTTTATTGTTTCCACGAACGCGCCTCTGAGCGAGAGAGGTGACATCGTATAACGCCAATCGAATTAGTGCACGTAGGCGCGACGCGACGATCGATCGAGAAAATTTGCATTCACGAGTGGGCGGACGCGGTATTTTGCAAAAAATACGTCCACCATATACCGTGGGAACTGAGATACCGCAGTTCCCGATGAGATAATGTGGTCCCGTTGAAGGAAGTAAAACGCAACTCCTTCGTAGAGAGCCGTCCCCATTCCTTCGAATTGAGTTTTGCATTTTCCTCGAGATGTAATTTAAGTTCTATATAATATCTTCTCGCGTTTTCAATCATTTATCGACGCCCTATGCACTCGTCAAGATTAAAAATAGCGAGTAAACAAAAGAATAACAAAATACAGCACAAGATGTCGTATGAAAAATTCTCGCAAAATTCGGGACACCATCGCCTTCAAGAAAAAGAAAGGTAGAGGTCATTCATAATTCCAGCAGGACGTTTATTTTTCATATTGTAACATTTTTGAAAAATATATTCTCTTATTGTTATATATATAATACTCTTATTGTTACATATATAGTAAAACATTGTACGTTAAATTGAATATATTTCATATGTTCCAAACGATTCATTCAAATTTTTGTGTTAATTTAACACAAAACTTTCCTTGCGAGAATTAAATAAATTCCTGCATTAGTCGTGTACACAGTAAAAAATTTTGTAATAAGAACGGTCCATTGAAATGTATTGCTTTAACATGGGGAATGTGTTAAAAAGTACACAAATAATAATGTTAATTTAATATGTTGACAATTTAACATTTTATTTGTGTACTTTTTAACACATTCCCCAAGTTAAAATAACACAAAATTTCAACCGGCCGTTTTTAACACATAATCTTTTACTGAGTGCACACGTGCTGGATTCACACACGGCCGCCAGATAAGCGGGAAAACTCAAAGGGAAACATGAGCGGCGCAGGAAAGCGCTATTACGTAAGGAAGCCGTGAGGATAAGCGTCTCGCCATCTCGCGTAAGCGTTCGCGCCGAGCAAAAGGAGGCAGACCGACGTGATAGCGGCGGAATCGCATACCGGCGGCCAGAAAGACCGCGACTTTCCCGGCGGTCTTAATGACCGATGCAAATGCGTCGTCATTAGGCCTCGTTGGGCTCGTTTCGCTACTATTTGTCTTTATAGCTCGTCTCGGCATCGTCCCCTTTGCATAAAGAGCTGCGACGTGTCGCGGTCGCGATTTCTTTTCACCACCCGGCCGGTCGCTCGCTCGCTCGTTCGCTCGCGATCGCAGAACAATGCGATACCGAGAGCCCCCAATGGAATCGTAAACGCTTTTACGAGGCGCGATCGTTAGCTTGATGGATGTGTTTAGGAGCTCTTTCTTTCATTTCGGATCCCGATATCTTGCTGAAATGCAATTGACGAATGACCCGCTCGAGGACTCGCGCCATTCGCTCGCGCGAACATCGCCGCGGGCTACGACGATGCTGTGAGCGCACATGGATTTCATATCGCAAGCCGCTTGTTCGTTAACTCAGACACAAGTTGGTTAACGTTTCATTCGTACGTACAATATGGGGTTTCTGTCACCGTTACGCTCCTAGATGGAGTTTTGCTCTCGCTAATGCGCACGCGGAATGAACTCGATTGACCCCGGAATCGGTTCTCGCGAGACAGCGAATTTCCCCCGCGGTCAGGCGGACTCGTCAGCAAATCGGTGGCGAATTTTTGCATGCTTACGGCGGTTGACGAACTCTCGCCAATGAAATTTGCTTGGCTCGCGAGAAATCAAACGAGTCTTTCGATTGAGTTCACACGCGCGAACTGGTCTCTGTATTTTGTTGTCGGACGCTGAAATCGATGGCGCAACGCTTCGGCTGCACGTGCGACCTCCAGTTGGCTTCGCTTAAGCCGCAAAGCACTTCCGAACGTTACCTCGAAGAAAGCACCTCGTGACAATCGCGAATAATTAACGCAACAAATTTCACATCATCAATCAACAATTAATGATCGTCCACATCCTCTCGGCTGTATCCTCGTGGCTATTTTTATCGCTCGTTGACCTCGACAGGACGCTGGAATGGCGCAATACCGCGATCGCAATTTTTCACTCAGATCTCGCCGCGTTTCCGGCCGCATAAACACGATGATGTCAACCGATGGCGCCTGTGTACTCCCGCGAAATTGCGGGAGCATTTCTGGAAACGGCATGAGTAACGCGCTCCGATTCGATCGCTTCTTATGAATCACCGTCACTCCGACGACGGGAGCTGATGAAATCACGAAATCACCATAATGTCGCTCCCACGAATCACATGTTCCACTTTAAACGTCAGCGGACATTTGTTTTATTGTCATTATTGGGTTAGTCCAAAATTTCGGTTTGATCTTTAATATTTCTTCAATGGTAAACTAGTTTTCTACGGCAGAAATAGGCGAATGTTGTCAAGACCTTGACAAAGGATTGTAGACGATGCCAGCGGTTACTTGATAAATAATTTGCATTTGTGAATTCCATTCAATACAATTAAATCATATATTACATTCAGGGAAATGTTTTGCTAGAATTCTAAATGTCACAGGTAAAATGTATCGCTGTTTTTTGTACCTGCTGGAAAATTGTCTGTAGTATGTATAATTTACAGCAGCAGCACTCTAATAATATGTGCAAGAAAATTAAGATTTTGTTTCGAATTTTTAATAAGAAATGTGACTGGTATTTATCCGGATGGATTCCACAGAGAAATTTTCTTGCTAAATTAGACGAATAGTTCAGATAAAAATTCTGTCTCCCTCGCCTATATTGATTAGATACAACACACATGTGACATTGAAGTATAGACATTTATCTATTTTAGCCAATTTCATCCAGATAATTTCTGCTATGACTGCAAAACTATTTTTTTGAGTGTACTTAAAAATTAAACGGAACTTTTGAACTGGTGCAATACATTAAATAATTTGTGTTCTATCAGATTAGATCGAACATCAGTCATACGTGCGTTCACGACTTCCTGTTGTTAACCGGGCAAAATTATAACGTCATTGATCATTTCCGGAGCGATCCGAGCCCGGTTTGCGTCGAGAACGCTAACAATTTCGCGCGGAACGACCGATTTCCTCGAAGCGTGGCGAGAACCAATCCGGATGCTGTGTATATTATTTCGTGACTCATATCGGGGGCTCTCTGGAAGACGCGACGCGACTGGACGTGTCAAGAGTCGTCTCGCGATCTCGCCCGGGACTAATTATCGCGGCTGGACGTGAATTAGGGACGTAAACCTAAACGACGTCGCCGCCGCCGCCGCGATCATAAGAGCGCGGAGCCGACGCTGACATTATCGGCGCCCCCGATCTTCTCGCCTCTCCTCTTCTCTCTTTACTCTCGCGAGACACGCGAGAAACATAAAGTCGGCCTTTTCACGCTTCACCAACGAGGCGACGCTCGTTATCTCGCGTCGTTCAAACGAGCGTCGCCCCGACATTTGCATCCGACACTCGCGAACGATCGCGCTTCTGAAAGTGCATGAGTGGGAAGAGGGGGGACCACGTTGATGTCTTATTTCATCAATCATTATAGGTATACGAGGTATTTCCAACTTAAATGATCAAACCTACATGTTCTGTGACTAAAAGTAAAGGAAAATGTTACATTAAGGAAATTTTAACAGAAATAACGACAAGAAAAAAGAGACTAATCAAGACGATATAAATAAGCGCAACATGAATGAAGAAGGATGATGCGAGCGTTGGTAATTATTGGCCGAAGCGTTGGACTTTTTAAAATTGAAAGTGTAATACACATATGAATGTCTCTGTCTCCTCTACAAATTATGTGAATTACGCTTTAAATTTAAAAAAATCCAACGGTCAAATCGTTATCAACGCTCTATCATCCCTTCTTCACTCACCTGAACTCGCTTCTCGAGCGACACTTCACGCAGTTTACGAACCCGCTCGACCCTCTGCGAGGTTAACATTCCCGAAATAACGAGATTATGAGGAAGGCCGGGCTCGGGACGTTGCAGATCGAGGTGAACACCGAGCACGAATGGCAACAACTGCTGGACCGCGCTGACGTTCTCATCGTCGCGGACGTTTACTCCGACTGGTGCGGTCCTTGTGCCGCCATGGCGAGCACCTTGAGGAAGATCAAGATAGAGATGGGCGATGACGCGGTGGACTACGCGGTCGTGCGAAACGACGACATCAACGATCTCGCGAGATTTAGGGGCAAGAGTGAACCCGTCTGGATGTTCCTGTGGGATGGCAAGATGGTGAACCTGATGTTCGGCGCGCATTGCCCTCGCTTGCGGAAGTTGTTGCTCGAGGAAATAAGAAGAGTGCGACTGTCGGAGGCCCCGAAGTGGCGACTGGACGTGGGCGAACGGGCCCCGGAAGAGGAAGTCCGTTGGCAAAAGCAAGAAGGCATCAGGTGAACCGAGATGAACGAACGCTATATTATCGGAATTGATTCCGCCAAGTTCCAGGTTTCTGATCAATTGTGATTTCTATTTTTTAACAATCACAAATGGCCAAGTGTCTTTTGAGGGGAATTTAAAAGGCTACATACATCCGGGCGACTTGAGAAACGCCCAATGTTTGAATTTTTCTGCTAACCATATTATTGACTTTATGAAAATATCCTTTTGAAGGATAATTTTTTCTACCTTTATTCACATGAAGCCCATTACAAAAAGTTGATATGTAAATATAAGGTATATATAAATATAAAGTATGTATGTCGTACTGCTATTATTGCTTCTGTCATTGCTTCCGAAGCTCGTCATTGCTAATCAGTATCCAAAATATCTCGGGAATTATTGGACCGATTTAGCTATAGTTTTATATAGATATTTGTATTAAGATTATCTAGTCTTTGTCATCGAATTTTTTTATACCTATTATAGTTTTTTTTATAAATGAGAAGAGGAGACATTATTGGCGGAAAATCGAACTTTCGATTTTAAATGCTAATAACTTAAAAAATTAATATTTTAAAAATCGGCTACAACAAAGACTGAATAATCCCTCAAAAGGACATCTTCATAAAGTCAATAATGTGGTCAGCAGAAAAATTTAAATATAAATATTGAGCGTTCCTCGAACGTTTCTTGAGCTGCTCGCGCGTATGCAGCCCCTTAAATAATTTGGTAATGACAATTTCGTCGTATATTCTAAATCTCATTCTTAATTATCCGCGATATTTTCATTCTGACATTTCGTCGGCGATTTTGTTTGCACTGATTTTTTCGCTGTGTTAAGGGGACTAATAAAAGTGTGGTCTCGGAAAAGAAAGAAATAAGAAAGGCGATGCCGCGTATTTTACGCAAACGATCTTGGTGAAAAAGGAAAGCGCTGGAGGAGAAGAAACAGGCGAAAGAGGAGGCCGAGAGGCGGGAGAAATACGAGCGATTCATGGCGCACATGGTTCTCGAGCTCTGCGAGGAAACGACACTCGTGCTTTATCCGTGGGTTTTCAAGGACGAGAACGGCAGGCCCAGAGACAAGCTGCTGAGTCCGCCGTACATGGAGCTCGTCCAGGACCTCTTCAGACAGTGCTACGACGTACAGGAAGAGTTGCGAATCGAGTTGAACGAGGACACGATCGAGAGGATGTTCGTCGAGAGCGGCGTCGACATCACCGAGGAATTGATAAAAGGTTTGTTGTGGAAAATCACAAACACGGCGGTTGTGTAATTAACAACAAGAAATAAAACAAACATACAAAATCAAAGACGAAAATATGCAAACGCGATTCTTCAGGACTGACCGATGGAAAGTGCATGGCCATGAGACTGAAGGGCAAACCACCGCATCCGGACTGGCCAGTGCATTATCCTTATGAGAATTCGGACCCGTCGATTAAGCATCCGATCCGCGCGATCGATGACGTTGAGAATTATCTTATTAACATCATCACGACAGAGCCGCCGCCTCTTTTATCAATTAGAACCGACGTACCTATGACCAGACCGACCTACGACGCGCCGTATATCGAGAGGCACGTATACGTATACGAGCCAGACCCGGAAATCGAGGGTGACTTGCGTCGAGTACATCCCGCTGCTTGGGTGCCTCCTCAGGTACTCAAAGTGACGAAATGTAGGAGAACGGAGAATTTTTAATCGAGAGTTAACGATCACGAAATTTGATTAATTGTATAAGCAATAATTGCGCGCATAAACAGGCCAGAAGCAAGGTTCACGTCTTCAAGACTCTATTCTCGGCATACTTGGAGAAGACTCATCCTTACGTGGAGCCGCCAGTTCCCTTGCCTCTGTGCGCCTTTAAGTTCGAGGCGTCTAAGTTTGGCGTCGTACGAGACGCGTACGAATCGCACAGCGCCGCCGTCGAGTACTTCGGCGCCTTCGAGTTCGATCGGCCGCCTCACGCGAGACGCATCGCGTCTTCTCCCAACGATTTCGAAAAGAAGGTTCGCCATTTCCACCTTCTCGTAATATATCGACGCGACTCAATTACAAAAATTAAAAATATATGAAATTAAACATAATTTTTTTAATTTAATGATACGACTCGTGTTAGATAAAATTCGACGCGAATTAGAGCTTATAATATCATTTACAAAAAACAAACTCAGATTATTTGTGGAAGGTGAAGCACAAAACTGGCGCCGAGGTGTTCGTACTGATAGTTCGAAGAATCAACGAAGAAACCTTCCTGACCTTTGCCGGCATCGAACCGTCCTTCGTCACAGAAATCGAGGACGTAGCTCAACAGATGATAACGGATTATTTTCCCGAAGGAGCTGAGGATGTGATACCATTAACGCCAGATGAAGAAGAAGCCCTTTACGAGGAGGAAGAAGAAGAATATGAAGAGGAAGAAGAAGCAGAGGAATTGAATAGGGATTTCAATTATTCTTTCTACTGACCTGAAAAGATCCAAATTATTTGTTCCTATAATTTACTTAAAAATCATTATTTTTAATAAGATTAATTTAGAAAAGACGCAGTAGAAGTAGTTACGACAAATTATGAAAATTTTGGCCATATGGAATGACTCCGCGTTTCGCGACATTTACATTCTCCGCGTGTTTTGGCAGCGATCGCCGATGCTTTGACTGCTTTCTGTGCTCGGCAACGCGTTTGCGTAAGTTTGGCATATTACCAAACCAGCTCGTGGAAGTTATAAACGCAGCTGTTCTGTTGCCAATTTTAATTCCGTTTAAGCCGCGCCGAAATACTCTACGAAAAATCCTACAAGAACACTCGATCGACTTATCGTCACAGAAAATCTCTCACCTCTTGAGAATCTCCCCTAATGTATCGAGGTTTTCGACTTATATCTTTATCGAATAGAATTATTTAAGCTTTTATTTAGAAGTGGCAAACTAATATCATCTAATATGAGGATTTAAGCCAATTTAATTTAATTTAATTGTTAATTCGGTTTAGTTTGTAATTGAATTCTTACGAAAACGCGAACGTGTATACGCGATTTATTAAAAGCGCACTTTAATCGTAATCTAACTAGTAATCGTATGATTATAGGCCACCTATGTTCAATTTTGCGTAAAAAGTGTGTTGCATCTAGTTCGTGGATTATTCAAATTACATCGCAGCTTGATTGTAACGTTTTCAAGGATTTTCTCAGCGAAAAGTGGAATGATAGATTCTAAGCTAACCCTTTCGCTAGATTCTTCTTTGGATTGAAAAAAGCTCTTATACCGCCATCATTAATTACGATTAAATCGCTCGTAAATGCCGAGAGTCGTGTTTGCGCAAGGTTCGCGCGTAATCTTGCAAATTCGATTGCGCCAATAGCTAAAATAAATATCACCACTTGGCGATAAATAATTCTTCGACAATCTGAAAAATCGTTATATGTCGCCTTCCTTCGATTTTAATTTCCGATTAATCCCATTAATAAACTCCACCGGGACCTAATTCCCGCGCATTATTGACTTTTCCGCCGCTTTTATGGCCTTCACTGCTCTTACACGCCTTCTTTCCAAGAACGCAGAACGATAAACTCGACCGGGTCATTCTCGTAATAAAATCGTTGTAAAGCGGTGAGACGGAATCGTGTTTCACGCGATTGATTTGTTTCGCACTTTGTCGCGAATTTACGATTATTACACCGCGTGCTGACATTATTATTCGCGTCACGTATATTTCACTTGTCATAATACGATACTTTTAAGATTTTATATAATACAAGTAAAAAAATGGAGATTTAATTAAATCGAACTCCAATCGATGTAACTTAATCTATTCAATCTTTAATCAAATTTCTCTAATTAATTTAATTTTCAATCTGCAGGGGATTTTACAGGACATTCGTGGTTCGATTTATTTATCTTTTTTTATTTCTCACGTGTCTAATACTATTACGGTATTTCAAGAGTTACGAGAGCGGAAGTGCGGTAGATTAACTCGATGGCATAAATCTTACCTCGACAATGTCAAGCTCGACAAGTAGGCCTAGAAAGGACGAGACAGTCCTCCTTGTTCATTTTTTTCATTCTTAATTCACCAACGTGGGACTGCCACGATAACGCCGCAGGCGGTCAATTGCTTAAACGTCGGTAATTATTGCACAAGCATTACATAAGTAAACAGATGATTCGGGCAGGTGAAGAAAGAAGGTGGAGAAGGCATGAAAAAAGGCGCAAATTACTGCCACGGGAAGCAATTCGCATCCATCATGCGTGTTACGTACGATTAACAATCCTCTCGACTCCTCTTTTTTTTCTTTCGTTACTACTTCTCTCTTCCTTTGCGACTGTAAAGTTCCTAAGCTTCCGTTCGAGCGACACTCGGGAGCTCATTCGCGCTTCTCGTTTGTGAAAATACGCTCGTGAACGGAAAATGTCGCGTAATGACAATAATTTTCAGTCGATGGATATTCGTCGCGATTCGTTTCTCTGGATTTCGTCACCTACTCGCACGTGTCGCTGACTACTACGGAATTCGCTTCCGCTCTGATTTTGCGGCGTCGCGCTCCGTCGAAATTTTACCGTAGCCGGAAAATGCCGGCGTGTACACTTCTTGTGCATATTCCTTGACCTCCTTAATCGGATCCTTCTTGTGACTCGTCGGAATCAACTTTTCTTCCTCTCTCTCTCTCTCTCTCTCTCTCTCTCTCTCTCTCTCTCTCTCTCTCTCTTTCTCTCGGGAAAATTCTGCAGGAATCTTTCTCTCGAGACGTCTGAGAAAACACGGTTCGCGGAAAAGCGTTGAAAAATCGCTGACGTTTGTTTCTCGTTGAGGCGTCGCAAAAAAAGTTTGCTCGAGGATGTATGTACGCGATGTTTTAACACACATGCGTTTCGTGGAACGTATGTCTGAGTTTCCTTTCGCGAATAGATTATGCATCATGCTTTGACAGGAAATTTTTGAAAGAGAGAGAGAGAGAGAGAGATAGAGAGAGAGAGAGAGAGAGAGAAAGCGCTCTTAGGTGCTTGCAAAAGTTCATAAGTTCACTAATAGATGGATTATTTCAAAAGATGAATCGTTTTAAAGGCGCGGCATTAAATTGCTCGAAAGACAAATGGCAAAAGGTTATTGATAATAACGGCCAATATCCTTTGATCAAAATATTATGTCATCTCATTGTTATTAATAAATAAACATGGCTTTAATATTATACTTTTGTAAACACTTAATGTGATTTATTAACAAACAACGGATGATGCTTAAAATGGGCCGGAGTGGCAAGTAAAAACAGTATGTTTTTTTTTTTGTAATTTTTGAGTTGCTGATTCTGATTCTGACCTCTAAAAAATTTTAATTTGCCGGGAAAATGTTAAACTTAGCATATGAAGCTATTAAACGTCTAATATCATAAATTATTATTGTTAAGCTTTACGAACGTACTTATTCGTGTTTTCCTGCTAGTAAAACATGATAATGCTTTCATCTCTAATGGTTCATGTTCTGGTCAGCGCATATCCGGGCACTTTATGTGGTGGAACTTCTTTATAGTCAAATCGTCGGAACCGAAATGTGACTGTTCACTTATTTTCTTCAATGTTTTCTTTTTTATGTATATGTTCTTCCATGTATAATATATAGATTTTAACTCATTAAAAATATTTTACTATTATATTATAGTATTTCACAACTAGAAATTATAAGATTTACGCAAAAAATATTTTAGGCACTAAGATCCGCTTTGATCGAATCTTTCAAGATCTTCATTTATTAATTTGCATTGTTTGCATATCTGTCGATTTTCATTTAATATTGTTTATTTTATTATAGTTTTACACTTTCATTAATGCACCGTTTTCATAATAGCTGCTTATATATTTAATAGCTTCATATGCTAATTTTAATACCTTCCTGAAACAAATAAACATTTTTCTAAGTCAAGATCAGATTCAGCAGTTCAAAAACTACAAAATCACCTACCATTTTTACTTACCATTTCGGAGGCCAAAATCAGGCTATTTTATTATTTATCGTCTTTTATCAAATTTTAAGACTTTAACACGAAACAAACGAACTGGATGAGAGAGCGCTTTCGAGTGCTTCCAATGCTGATTCTCGACATATGTTGTTACCGGTCGCATGTTATTTTTCAACGCGCTTGAAGCCACCGAGCGTCGTCCCGTGTCAGGCTCACGAAAGAACGAGCATTCTTCAGCTAAACCCAACATCTCCCACTTGTCGCTCAGCGAACCAGCCGACATTGGTCATTCTCGCACTGTCGTCGTATCGACAGCGTCGCGAGTGGCGGATCGATCTCTTCGTTCGCTCGCAGCCGGCCTCTGGTGGCCCTACCACAACGTTCAACGCTGTCCAGCTCTTCCAATGGTCAGCGTTCTATCCCTCCTTCAGGGTGCTCCGACACATCCCTCCGGGTTCGAAGGTCACGGTAACACCGTAGCCGGCCGCGTCCCGCTGCGAACCTGAAGAGGCCCCGACGCTAATCGGCCGTTCGCCGGGGTAGGGAGGCTATATATAGCACCGTCGCGACGTGCTCTCCTTCAGTATCCGCGCGCGACTCCAACTCGAAGGTGCACAGCAACTGGCTCTCGTCGTTGCGCGATTCTCTTCGAGGTTCGCTCTTCATTTTCGAGCGCTCAGCAGCGAGTCCTCCGTTCGCCGCTTTTTGCCGCGCGCATAGATAAACACGGTTTCTTCCTGGGACAGATAATTACTGGCTCTCACCGGTTTTCTTCGGGGTGCTCTCGAGCGCGGGTCCTCCTCGAGGAGGAAGCTCTTCGCCGTGCTTGATTCAGTGTCAAGAGCAGATACAACCGGATACGAGAGATTCCAGCCGATCGTCCTCCCAGAGTCTTCGAGGTGTCTCCACGAAGTGGCTCTCGAAGGAGGAATTTGCTTGGTTGGTCTGATCCCCGAAGATGGCGAAAACCCACATCTGCGATTCTCTGCGTAGTGGTTCTTAGGAGAACTCTGTTTAACGCATTTCTGCGTGTTTCGATATCCGTGCGCTGAACTTGGAGATAAATAAGTAAAAGTTTTCGGGACTCAGTTGTTGACTTTTACGCACACTTCGCGGTATCTTCGAATATTGGACCGTATCAAGAGAATTCGCTCGAATTTCATTATATTTTTGTTCGATTCGCGCGCGTCGTACTTGGAACTGGATCTCGACGATCTTCGTCGAGGCGTCTTCGCATAGTGACCATCGGTGAGCAAGTTCGCATAGCGAAGGATACGCAAGAAGATCTTGCAGCATCACGGACTCCGATAACGGGAACTCGTTTATTACCTCTACGACGAGTTTTTGCTGGCAGCGAGCTCGCAGCGAATTCTCAGAGATTTCCTCGTGCTACCTTGGAAAGAACTGGATGTTGACGAATAATGATCACTTCGTGACAATTGAGCGCTCGGGAAGAAGCTGAATCTAGCTCTTCGTGCATCCGTTGTTGAGATCGAAGCTAAATCGCGATCGTCGCCTCGCTTCGCCGATGAATCTGTCGCCAAAACGCGAACGCAAGGGGCTCTGAGATGGTCGTAGCATCGACTCGAAGCGAAGCGTACAGATAAATATTTTTGATAGACAAGGACAGAGTGGACGTATTATTATCGGGTCGACACGTGGCGTCGTCGATGTTGCAGAGGAGCGAAACAACGACGTCGACCGGATAAAAGTTGAGGAGTAGACTTCGGACTTTGGATCGGGCAGTAGGAAAGGAGATCCAGCGCAGCTAGCATGACAATGGTAGTCAACAAGATCAACATGTCATCGTATTCCGCGCCGCGGCGTACCTTCTTCTCGGGTCTTCACACGAAGGTAAACACTTCACTCGCGAGAGCAGAAATCCCATCGAAGTCGCATCGTAATCCCGACCGACTAATCGATCAATTAATAAGAAAATTAATTTTCATACTCCTCGAAGACTTTATTGCGTAGAATATGACTCGAGTCGAAAAAGACGTAGAAGTTGAGAAATTGGACTGTTCGCGGAACCTGTTTTATAAATGCAAATGAATTCTTGGATCCGAAAAAATGGACATTTTTTATTGCTAGATTAATTTTACTCCATTATTTTTGTATTTTTACGACTCTTATAACTTGGTTGACAAAACGCTTGTAATTTGTTTACGAGCGAATTGGACGGTCGGCCGTGAACGTGACCGTTTTCCTTGAAGTTGCGATATACGAGCGCGAAGAGCTCCTTCGCGTGAGAGATTGAAGCGCGGGAAATAATAACGAGTGCGTTGCCACGATGTCGTATTTTTCGCGACTTCACTGGCGCACCGCCACATTTCATCCCGTTCGCTTCTTCGACGAACCGCGGATCTTTTTTGGTTACACGATAGTATCCCGCGAACAGCTGGGTGACTTATATAACGGCAAACCGAGAGTCTGGTTTATTAAACTCCCGCCCGCAGCTGCGGAAACAGCTTCCTTTTTTCCAGTCAATGTACGTCACGCGAAATCAACCGGCGGAAGAAACGCGACGTCCGTTTTATTACTGTGAAATGAAAACTGATGATTGCTTCCTGTTACGAGTTTTTCAAAGTAAAATATCACGTGTATAATCATTTTTATTCCGAACGAACAAACAGTATTCGTTCTCTTCATATCGTTTGATTTTT